TAATAAATGTAATTAAATTGCTTTTGGTCATGGATGATTCTTCAATGGCGAGATATTCGAATTTCGCCATTTTTTTTTCTGTGTACATTTTCAAAAGTGAGCCCACTGTATTCTTGTTCATTTATAGATCGGATCAGTGTTCGCTTTGATCGATTTTTTTCTCCCGCTTTTTAAAGAACTAATTTAAAAATAATGCAATCTAAATTATCTTTAGAACAGATATATTTATATAATAAGAACTTATTATGTTTTTTATAAAAAATGGTGATAAAAAATTAAATCTCTTAGCTAATTCAGCTCTTTTTGATAATTATCATTTTCTCTTGTATAATTTGATAGATAATTATCATTTTCAATATCTATATTTTAATTATTATTTCCTCATATATCTATATTTATTCTAAAAATCATTCTATTTTAATTGTTTTAGTATCAAGATTTTTACATTTAATCTTCTGCTACAATTTGATGATGAGAAAGACGATAGTTAAAAAATCTTTTTGTTTTTGTGAATTAGGATTTTTAAACGAGGAATTAAGAAGAAATCAAAGAAGCAGAATCATCCAAAAGATCATTTTCTTGAATAAGTATAAAATAGTTCATATAAAAAGAATTCAGACATCATGTACTAAATCAGGCAAAACCATATCAAAATTAATAAAAATCACTCTATCATTTACAATACCTTGACAATGAATGATAAAAAATTCGTTCAGATAAAATAAATCTCAGAATCTTTATTTGGTGCAACTACGCAATATAGAATCGATAACCGATAGAAGGTCTTCAACTAGTCCTAATCGATAGAAAAAATTTGTTATGTCTTATTCAGTTATAGATTTATTTTGCGAAAAGAATTGGAGAAATATGGAGCAGATAAGTTGTTCACTTTAGCTCATAACATATGTTCTATCAATTATATTTTTAAGTACTTCCAAATTTTCAAAACTTTTAACGTTCTTCTAAAGTAGTCCATTAAAATTCTTTTGTGCTATTATGACTTCTATTATGGCTTAAATTACTCTTTTAATATAAATAATTGTTGTTCCTTTTGCTATTCAAAAAAAGTGAACAAATCATCCAGTTGATTCAATACAAGCTTAAGATATTCTTTCACGTGATGAAATAAAGGATATGTATAAATTAGCTAATTGTGTGTGCAAAACTTCCTTGAACTAATTGGGATCATACAATTTCAGAGTTTTAAATATTATGTGTTTATTATATTATCACATTAAAAGAATTTGTGAAATAATATTGTCTTCTTCCTTACTTGAATTCTCTTTATCATTTTCTCACTGCCATCTTTTGCAGCCATTATTGACTCATGATATAGCAAAACGCGAAATAGAAAACATGAAATGAGAAAATGCACTGATATTTAAGAACAAATCATATTCATGTTACAATATGACTGATCAATCAAAAGAGAAAAATTATACTGGCTAATTTATTTCTGATCTGAGTGATTCGATCTAAAAATGAACAGGGCTAATATTTGAGCATTCATGCTATATAGGGATTGAACCCGATGGAAAAAATGTCATCCGGTTCACTTACTCGAAGTAAATTGACTGAGTGACTCGACTACAATATTAAAACCGTTTGCTATTTGTATATTTTAATTCCGATTATTCCGATTCCACACAAAAAATCTCACGCACTGATTAAGCAATATAAAAATGCCTTTAGCGTCTGATAATAAGAAACGTGAGTTATACACGTTTTTTCTGACACTTGTTTATTTGAAAAAAAAGGAATTAGTTATGCACAGTATTAGTATGTCGATTAGCAAGGTTAAGTTTGGAGAATCAAAAAATCAGGTTATACCGACACATATAAAATATATTAAATTTATCATTATATTCGCTATATTACATTTATTAATGATGCACCAAATTACTGTATTTAATAGTGTAATGTTGGAATTATTTGAATCTCTTCCAAGTGAAATTAACAAAGTAATAGTATAATTGATAATTTTACTCGAGTTATTTTCTTGATGATTTTACCCGAGTTACTTGTCTTACTTGCAAGTAACGAGTGATTGATCATGCATCTAGCGTTAAGAGATCAGAATCGAAGCTGGAAAAATCAGCAGGTTTGAAAATCGTACTAAGAATTGATTCTGTCGACTAAGATCAGAAAATCATTTTTCGATTCGATTCGAAAGTCTAATGATAATTACGTACATTGTAGTCTCAAAGAATTCAAAAGATATACGTACCTAAACGCTAAGCAAACTTAAAATAGTATTAGCTGTTTTATTTATTTAGCACTTGAATATTCGATTCTCGAATAGTAAATACATGTATACCCATAAAATAACAAATTTATAAATTTATGTATAACTTTTTTATTGATGTGATGTTAGATTTTTTGGTATTTAACAATATTCTCAATATATTAATTTGATAATTACTATAAATAACAATATCTTGTAGGTTCATCCTGGATTAATGATACTTGACGAATGACGAAACCTATGACGTGACGAAACATTCTGACCAATAAATACTAATTGATGCCGGACATTTTTGTAAATGAACGAATGCGCAAAATCCATACATGTATTTAAATATCAATAATACATGTACATGTACTGGTACATGTATTGATTTTCACGAAATCTTTCGCCACTTTGGAAATGTAAGTGGCGAATGACAAATCGTCTGACGAATGACAATTTTGGCAAACTAAACCATAAAAACAAGCCTTATCAATTTATCGGTTTATTTTTTACCAGTGGTATTATTTAAAATTATACACTTTTCATAATGCTAGCCAAATTCAGCATAATTTTGATCGTTATGGCCTTCAGCCAATCAAACACATGTACTAGATTTCTCATGACGTAATATTCTTTTAAAATTGCACGCAAGAAATCTGTGCCAGGTTTTGTCGATTATCTGTCACGTGTATTATAATTAGCCACAATCCGGCGGCTGACACCCATTTATTAAAGTTCGAAAGAAGTTACCATTTTTAGAATCTTGTTCATACACACATAAAATTTGAGTTTTGATTGGCGTTTCTCTAAAAACAAACATTTCAGTCTGTCGAAGCGATGCAGAAAAGAAAAGAAAACACCGTAAGTATTTAGTGAGCATTAAAATGCATGTTGACATGCTTTCGAGAAAAACCTAAACTTTAAACTCAATTGGAATAGATGGAGAGCTCTATAAACTGTCACGACACCAATTCTGAACATCATTTTTTTACGGCTGAACTATCTGATAATGTATTGACATCTCTGGATGATTACAATAATAATTCACTTAATATGAAAATATCAAATGAAACAAGTGTTCCATTATCTGAATTTGTTACCGTTATACTTTCACAAAGCTACAGTTACTCTATTTCTGAGATTCAGCAAGTTCCTCCCTATATTACGGCAGAAGAGTTCTTAATTAATCATTTCGAAGTTGATTTTTTTGTAAATATTGACAGCATACCGGACATTTGCATGATTGGCTGTACTATAATTGTGTAACATAACAGATATAGGACTTTTTATACAGTTTAAAATGTTAAAAGAATGTAAAATTTTTGCTAAATTTTCTGTACAAAAAAAAAGGACAAACCAGTTTGCACATTCTTAAACACCCACTTAAGCGTTCTGACAAAAGTAATCCCGCTAATCCCACAAGTTTAGAACAAGCAATTTTAAATGATCTTCAAAGGCATGGAAATTCCGAGTGCACGACTACAGAAAAGACTTATTGGCCCATGTATTATTTGTGGAGCAGAAGGGTTTGAAGGTAAGTTTCGAAGGTTTACTGAAGACGCTTACCAGAAAGACCTACAGCATGGAACCTTGAATTCTACATGGATACTAAATGTTACTCAGTTTTGTAACAGTCATTACATGAGTTATATTGTGAATGGTATTAATACTGAGAAAAGTGTCAAGACATCTGAGAGCACTATTTCTTTAAAGAGACGGTGGAAAGATAATAATATAGAAGGTGAAGTGACAGGAGCCAAATTAATTGTGATGACAGTCAACGAGAGCGGAAAATGAAGCCATCAGAGATGAGTGACGATGAAAGAATCAGTGAGATTAATTTTATTGAATGTGTTAGATCGATGGCACACATATTTTATGCGAGAGAAAAGAAAGAAAGAAAACCACCGATATATGATTGGAAGTTGCTTCGGATGGATTTGGAGTCAGAAGACATTCATCTCAAATCATTTCTCAACCTGCTTGAGAAACTGATTAATTCGAATGATAGAGACCTTGTGGATCATACTATCTCACAACGACAGAAAGGTCTCTCGTTCTTATGTCATTTTCTCGCAGGGATCGGAAATAAACATATCAACGCATTGAAAAAAGACATTGCTATATTTTTGGATCATTCAGGTACCTCTGATCAAGCAATCGATACTTTATCTAACATGCAGTTGAGTTCTACGTCAAGGGAGAATCGACGTGGGAAAAATATCATATCTTCTATTCATAGAGATAATGTCACAAGAGAGCTTGTAAAGTATCAGGCGAATGCGTTAATTGCTAATATCGATGATTATCACAACATTCATGGTTTACACATTCCAACAACTACGTCGACCAGTACGGTTGCTCACATGACTACAGTTCTTGCCATCCTGATATCTACAGCAAGTGCGATTTCAAAGAGTGTCGGAGATGCAAACATACATAATCCGTGACTTGTTGACAGTAATGTTTTGATTACTCAAATAGAAAATCAGTTTATGGCTCTTCTATCTCAATCGTTTAATGATCGGTTTGCAAGAAAACCTGCTTACGCTGAAAATGATTTACTTGATAATCTAACGGTTCATTGTTATGATATAGATATCCATGAAAAATGACACAGTCAGCAACTTAATAATACATTATTAATCGATTTCCTCAAGCTTAATTTACATTCGACGGAGGCATACATTAAAGCTATGGAGACGTTTGCATCCTTTCCAGAATTTCACAAATATTTCCAGCACAATGTTATTCCATTAGTTGCTGATTGGCCAGGTCAAATACTTCCTCGAAAAGTGATTACAATGCAACAACAACAAGCGCGAAAGAATATTCAAACAGGTAAAATTCCAAAATGCGTTAGTTCATTTATTCCAATAATGGGACCTTTACATGTATCTCTCAACAGTCGTGAAACTGTTGTGTTGTTGTTTTACGAATTTTTCAATTTAGCACACAAGCATATTTTTGAAAAAAACAAAAAACTTGCTAACAAACCTCGTCCTTGGAGAATTAATCTTTTATTACAATTGATATCAGATGCTTGGCAAATCGTCACTCTATATGTTGCACAGAAATTTGACTTTTCTTGTTGTAGAGATGTTGAATATCTAACACTGAAAACTCTTTTAGATGACACAATTCCTTTAGTTCTCAATATTTACACAACAATTTTTAGATCAGGCGATTGGAATGGATATATTGAGGCTTGTGTGAGAATATGGTGTTTGTTTACTCGATTCAAATGGAGAAATTATAACAAAGCATCACTGTTTTTTTTTCAGACGTTTGGTATTGGAAAAGTATTAACCATTCTATTCTCAAGATTTTAGAAAAGCATCTTGTAGCATTTAGTGATTATCCAGTGGAAAATTATCATTCGCTAATTCGCTGACAAACAAGAGAAACAGATACGCCTGAACAACTTTCAAGAACGGCTTGCATTATCAATTGTCTTCATCATGATAATGTGTTTCAGAATACATTCGTTTCGACAACAAAATATCCTTATTGTAAAGAAGATCTAATAGGTTTAACTAACAAAGCATCTATCTTTCTTCTAGAACTGTTTGCTGATATTAAAAACAACACTGGGAAAAGCGAATGGACAAAACGTGACAAAAACAAAGTTTCATGCCATCTTGCAACTCTTAATATAGATATAAATCAACGGCATTTGCCAATGGCGTTCAGTTCAGAATACCCTCCGTTTGATCCATCAGAAAATGTCATCTTCGGAATTCTTGTAAAATGTTGCAATCAACTTCTGATTAGTCTATTTCACTTCCATGTGGCCACATTTATCATCAACGTTGCTTGCAATATCTCGAACATAAATATTTTTATTGTTTAAATTATATTAAAAATGAAATTAATTATAACGTAAAATCTATTATTAGCAGAATTACAGATATGAGTATCGGTGAAGATGATTTTGAGGTTGATCTCAATCAAGAAAAAGAAGTTCAATCAACGGATAATGATAATGGAGTCGAAGACTTATCAAAGCAACCACTATTTAATCTAAAAACTTCAAATTAGCACTTGAAATATTTATGAAATAAATATATCTTGATCAGCCAATCATATCAAAGTTCATATGAAATTGAAATTGATCAATCATACAAATGTCTGATATGCTAAATATTGACAATGTTAATGACATACAAAAATAGTTAGTTGAGTTTGAGGAGAAATCAAAAACTACAATGTCTGAAACGAAAGGCTTTCAAATTCAAGGAAAAAAGGTTCTCTTCAGAAAATTAAGTCATTGTATTCACAGTAACAAAGTGAAACAAAAACAAGGAAATCCCACTCCAAAAAAATCCCATTCATTACGAGCCAGAAACACCAACTGCATGACTACAATTCATCTTCGACTCGAACTAAGGATGCTTGCCTAAATTCTTTCAGAAAAATATCATCATAATTTCGACAGGTTACATACTAATTGTTAATTAGAATTTTGACATAATTTCGGTTACGACGGGTTTCAAAATTCGTCAGAATTTCGACGGGTTATTTACTAATAGTTTATTATAATTTCGACAGAATTTAGACAGTCACTAAGGGATTTCGGCAAGCAACCTTAACTCGAACGTTGGCGTCTCCAAACAAATCATCCACTTGAAGTTAATATCAAATTCACACATAATTACGTTGTTCATTTTGCAGAATCTCTTAGTTTTCAGCATGTCAAAGAGAAAGTTTATAATAAGTATCTTGAACTTTTTGCTGATGGACATTCACCAGCATCAGCCTTGTATTTCTATGAAAATAGTCTTTATTTGCGTGCAAATGATGATCAGGAACTTTTGCAACTCTGCACAGAATCCAGATTATGGTTATATTCTAAATCTTTTTAAAAAATATTGTATTGAGCATCTTGGAGAACGTAATGGAGCATCAATGTTCCAATGACTTAAAGATAAAGTTAATGTATATAATAACTCTGGATGAGGTCATACTGTTTTTTAAGAGTATGATTCATGATTGGGAAAAGCTTTTATACTTTGTGTAGTAACAGGTTTAATGAATCGTGTTCATGAAAAAATTCGTCAGGCGGGAGAACTTTGTTATATGGATGCATCAGCATCTTTCGAACTATTAAATATGTCAATTACTCTATTTTATACAAGCTGTGTGACAGGTGCACTACCTCTTCCCTGTAAAAAAAAATAAAAAACAAAAAATCAGGAAAAAATCCAGTTATTTAGTTCCGGAAAATCACGGGTTATGTTAACAAATTTCCGGATTAAAATCTGATAAAAAACTGCTTAAAAATGAAAAAAACGGGGAAAATAAAAAAAAATCTGAAAACTTTGGGACGCGATATCTCGCGAACCACGAAACCAATCCGGACGAAAAAACCACCATTCGATTCGTCTAGTCTTGACAAATCGAATGGTGGTATTTTCGTCCGGATTGGTTTCGTGGTTCGCGAGATATCGCGTCCCAAAGTTTCCGGATTTTTTTTTATTTTCCCCATTTTTTTAAAAATGGATTAATATCTTATCACTCACTTAATCAAATTGGATAAAAATAAA